AAGGTATTTTCTAACAGTATTATTATGCAATGTGGTATCAAGACTAGAGTTTAATCTGCTTGTTATATCACTAAGAGGAGCGAACTGATTATTTTGAACGATACATTGTAAGGTCCATTTATCACGTTGATTAAGTATTTTAGGATGATCAGGACGCTTCTCAGGTATTGCAGAACCTGTTTTTTTGTATCTTTTTATAGTATTGTTGACAGTGCTAGTAGGAATACCAAGCTGAGTTGAAATAACCGTTTGCTTAGTACCACTCAGATATGCACTGATAATTCTTTCACGTTGAGCTTCGGACAGCTTGTTTCCACGCATTTCTATTTTGAAGAAGATAAAGAATATGTATGTATTATTTTTTTATTATTTTTATGTACATTAGGGAGAAATTGCGAATTTATTATAGACGCGATAAATCACGTGATTATAAATCTGGTAATTTAATGTAGGTTAGTGTATATCCTAATATATTTTAACATGTGATTGTGAAAAATACATAGTGATAAATAATTATATAATAAATAGGATTTTACTAACTTGAAAAAAAATAAGTTCTTAAGATAAATATAAATAACATAAATACAGTAAGGTATAACATATGTGATAAATAAAATCTATTTTTAGAAGTAAGAATGTGATGACAGATCATATTACAGTTTCTTTTGAATAAGCTACTCACGTGATTTGAAAAAAAAATAATATTTTCATTCTATGAGCTAGAAGTGCTGTACAAAATTCACCTAAGTGATTATCAGACTGTGACTAAACATTCATAATACTGCTTATGCTTTAGCGTTTAATTCAAAAAATTATTTTGGCTTAATTAGATAAAGAGGTTTTTGAACGTAAATTAAAGATAAGTATATCTTAGTAAATATCTCTCTAGCTATAGAACAAAGCTTACTAATTGTTTCTAGTTCTAGTGGTAGTAAATAAATTTGGGATAGACATTGATACTGATGATGATGATAATGAAGAAGATGATGATATTGAAGATGATGATGTGTTTTCTAACAAATTATATGACAGATGGGATTATAAAAAAAGATTTTGGTGAATATGCTTAGAAAAAGCTTTATTGAGACCTAAGATTGCTTGTCTAAACTCATTTTGGATTTGGCAAAACATCTAAATTATAGTTTTGCTAATTTTTTACTAAGGTTCACACTTTATAAACTTTAATATATTTTACCTTTTTCAGAATTTCGCAGATTTTTTAATAAGGTTTTAATATAATTTTGCTAAATTTTATCTTTTTCATTTAAATGACTTGCAAAATCTTTAAATTTTGTCTAACAATCTTATTGATACTGAAAAGTTCGTCAATATTTTATCCTTCTTAGGCTATTTATCATGCGCCTTTCTAATTTATCTGAACAAATAAATAATGAATTATTTATTATATTTTTTAGATCTAATTCATTTAGAGTATTAGAACATAATATATTATTAAATATTCTAGCTTATCTATGAAAGGTTTAAATTTTTTTGAATATGATAAACTCAGGTTTGATTTAATAAACAATGTAAAATTTTAATAAATCAAGCTCTGATGAGTTATCTTGCTAAATAACATGGCTAATATTTTTTTTTCATAATAGGAATTATTTAATGTTAAACTCATTTTATTAATACATACAAAAAAAAATACAAATCATGTCTTAGAATGTGATTTGCATTTTATATAATTCTTATTCTTTAGCAAGAATTTATCAGAGTATTTCAAATGATCAAGTTCACATAACTGGTTTATGCTACAATTGCGAATTTAAATTTATTATTTGAAATGTTGCAGATAAGGCAATATTTCAATTTATTTTGAGAATACAATTTCACTAATTCAAGATCATAAGGGAGCTGATTCTCATTTTGTAGTACTATGAGCTATATAATATATAATTCTCATGTTTTTTATTACAAATAGGATATGGTGAGCTCCATGATTAAAGTGATGTAAAATTATAATTATCAATTTCTTTGAAGTTATTTCCAAATTTCAAGTATGAGAAGTACTTTAAAATGGATTTGATAATTAATTCTAGATCAGGTTTGACTTCAAAATGATAGATCTTTTTTTTCATATTGTTTAGAAAAAGAAAAATAGGATACTTTGTTTTCTGACTTCAAATTTATGAAAAGATAAGTCTTTGATAATTGCCATACTCATGCTCAGTTTTTTTTTTATATTTTTTGTATAAGCTGAAATAAATCTTATTTGTTAAAATGCTTAGTAATCCACTTAATTTAGCATGTTAATCCAGATATTCAGAGGTTAGTATTTTATCAGTCTTAAACATATCTTAATTTTATATGATTGCAAGTCAATTTAAATTCCTTTTTTCTCATATAAATCTATTCATTCAAAAAAAAATTAAAATTTCTAGATAGATTATTATTTCAAAGAGTTATTCAGACTACAATCAACTCTTAATATAGCGAACTTTTGATATAATGAATTTTTTAAACAAATATAATAAAAATACTCTTATTATATCGAATTGGCCAATTAAATCTCTTAAAATCTTCACTATAGTCTTATAACGAAGTTGAGGTCTAGAACATAAAATTCATTATAATAAGAATTGACTGTATTGTAAAGCAATAAGACTATATAACTATCTCAATTTTATGCTATTCACATTTAATAAAATAGGATCTGGCTTTATATTTAATTTCTATACTTTCTTTATTATCATGGTCTAACTTGCATAATAGGCATAATGTTTCATTAGTAATGTCATAATAATTAAAATTTTCGTTACTAAATTCCTATATAAATTAGGGTATTGATCTAATATCTTGTAAAAATAGATGTAATTATAAGTTGACTTAAATTGGGATGCAGATGATATATTTGCTGATGTATATATTTCAACTTTCAAAGAGATAAATGCATTAGTCTGATTTTTATTAGTAGTTTTTTTAATTTTTTCTGATTTTCTCGAAGTGCTTTGATTGTGATATTTTATCATAGTTTTTGAAATCATCTGATTTATAATAGATTGAATTTGAATATCTTTTAATCTTCAGATAGTATTTGCGTTATATGTAATATATTTGATCCTATTTATACCTATGTCTTCTTCACCAAAAAGCTTGAGAATTTTTTGAGCTTTTTCAGTTTTTTTACGCAAATTCACATCAGTAATATTAGGTAGAAAAGGTTTTATTTCTTATATATTTTCAATCTTGCTATTTTATTTTTAATCTTACCATCCACTGTAAGGTTTTTGACCTTATTTTCAAATTCAAAAGAATAATAAAATCAGTATAAATTTGCTTCTGATCTGATTTTATTGCTTTATCAAATAATTCTGATAAATTTCATGTAGAATCTGAAATTATACCCTGTATATAAGGCTTACTAATTTCAGAAATATTTACCTTACCTTCATTCAAAGATGTATTGCCAGATGCAAAGCTGAATTTAGAGGTTAACTCCTATATCAAACCCTTTACTATTTGATTTTCTGATTCAAGTATATCAACATTAAGGTTATCAAGAGTACTATTCTGATTGTAACATTTTATCAGTTTCTGAATGACTTTTATAAGCTCAGAATTATTGGTGAAATTATTATACCCAGGATTTTCCTGAGATATATTTAGAATATTTTTCTGCTGTTGATCGCTAGTATTATTTCTGTATCACATGACAAACTAGGATTAACCACTTTACATAAAAGTTTTTTCTCCTTATAGCATTGCTTAATCTCATTACTAACTTTTCTCTTATATTCTGATTCTAAGAAAGTATCTATCTCTCTATCCTCTAATGACTTTTGCTCACTCACACTTGAAGGTGAAGAATTGATATTATCACATTGGTCACTAGGTATACTAACAACTGATATCTTTGGTATCAATTCCACAGGGAAAATATCTTCAATAGAACACGCATCCTGCACTTTAGCAATAACTTGAGCTTGTTATTTCATTTCCTCAATATCATGCCTTAGTCTTGCTACTTTGGTCTTAAGTTTAACATTTTCAGCATTGCGCTTTGCATTCTTCTCAATAATCTGTCTCAACTTCACATTCTCAACCTCAACTTCAGTAAACTTTAGTAACTTCTTTCTAAGTTTGGGAATCTCAGCATTCTCCTTTCTAAGCTCTGCAATCTCAGTTAAGAGCTTGGCATTTAATTCTCTTAATGAATCAAGGGATTGAGAATTTGACGTTATTTTATAAAAGGTACAGATTTATTCAAATTCGAATTATTATAGATAATGATTAGAAAATTGTATGAAACTTCCGATAAAAAAGTACAGTTCAAGAAAAAAAAAAATTTTAGTACACATTGACGTACTGTATATACGTATAAATATTTTATGTCCGGTGCACACCCCACACTTAATATGGTGTATTTTTTCATTTATGTTATTAATTGCTAAATTATAAGCATAACAGCTATTATGCAATGAATTATTAATGTAAAGGAAACTTTTAGTCTAGAGAATTCGCTAAACTTAAGCCATTAATGTATGAAAGCCTTGAAGGCCTCTTTTGTGCTCTTGATTCTTCAAAACCTTCCTTGACTTCTTGCGTTAACAACTAAATCCATGATTAATTTGTTAATGCAAGTCATTTATTATAGATGATTATTCAAGCGCTGAATACTTACTGCCCACTTTATCACACATTCATAAAAGAATACGAAGTCTCCCATCTCTGTGAAGTCTTTCATCTCTGTGAAGTCTCTCGGGAGGTTTGCATTATCCACTTAATTAAGTCGAAATTTTCCTCCTAAGATTGATTAGAGTGAGAAAATAAATTATGTATAATATAAATAATAATATAAATTAAATGTAACAACATGCCACAATAGTCCAAAAAATGTAAATGAATTCGAAGACGAAAGCTTTGTCCGCCAAAAACAGCGAGTGTTTTTGGTAAACACCGTCTGCATTTAGGAAAATTTTCTGAAGATTATTCGAAATCTTCGTGGAATCTGCAATTTCTTTATCCTCCTTTGCTATTGGTCGTAATCCTTCCATATACACAAACTGGCTGTATTCAAGTACCCTACGCCATCACGATAAAAGTCAATAATACTGCAATAACGATTGGTTAGTTGTCACGTGTCGGAATAAAATTATTAAAATTCATAAAAATTCCGTTTTATTCCATTATACGGCAAAAATTCCATTTTATTCATTAATTATAAAAATGGAATAATTCCGGGTCTCTGTTTCGGATACAGACGAATTTTCTTCTGACGAAATCCATCGATTTTGGATGAATTCACGAAATATTAAGGAATCAAATGTTACTGGTAGTGAACCATTTCCTGGCGAATTCCTTAAACCATCATCCGATAATATAATTATTTAAGCGAGCCAAAATTAAAAGAACTTATCAAGAAGGGAAATCTTTATGATGACAGAGAGTTGGTCATCAAAGTGATATTTCATGTTTTGCTTCTAGACATTCCAAATCACTTTGTTGATACGGAGGTTCCCATTAATGTTTATGAAGTAAAGAGAAACAACAACTGGTGATTACGCGTTTATTTCGCGTTTTATGATTTGATTATTGTCATTCATTTTTTCAAGTCCATAAAAATCGTCAGTATCATGGTTTATGAGTTAAACCTTTCTTGTCTATCTTAACACCTTAACACTGCTTGTTATTAATATCAATAAAATCATAGTACATCGTTCCGCGAGCTGGTCTTACATTATTTTTTTAAAAAAACAAAACCTTAATAATCAAAGAACTTGACGGCAGTCCATTGGCCAAATAAGAGTTTCCTCTGGAGGGGAGATTTTATTCGAGTTGCACGACGATTTAACGAGCGAGCAAAAGAAAATTCGTGTTCTGCTCCTGCTAAGAGGCGTAGGCGCTCCTGCGGGTACCGTCCCGTGTTAATACAAAGGAGAGTGGGTTCTGTTCCTTTGCCTTCCGTCTCAGGACTCTAGCTGGCGACTATCCGTGCTAAGGTGTAGAGGTGACCTTGAAGGAACTCCCGCGGGTACCGTCCCGTGATAATAACAGGGAGTTATTAGAATTCTTTTCCTGCCTTCCGTCTCCCCGCTTGTCGGTAATCCTTTGGAACGTAATATTTACAATAATCATAATTTTTATTATTATTACAAATACAAGAGATTTTAGCGGGAAATTGAAAATACTCAAAATTTAGAGCAAACCAAAAGCAAAGTCGAAAAAATCGGTAATGAATTGTTGTTTATCTGCTAGTTGTTTATACGCGGAAAGAAACTGATTGATATTGTGAAAATAGTTAATATCGTAAAAGAGAGCTCATTTAATATGCAAGAACATACCTATCTAATGAGTTAAGGTGGATCCCTAGAAAACAGAAACCTTATCAGGTAGTATTCGAAATTTATATATTATCTTTTTTAATCATAAAACTGAGTGTTTCTAACCGATTTCATTATGCAGTCACCATCTTCACTATTTAATGATGGTATTGGGACTATAGATGGTGGAACAGTCGAAACTACAAATGGTTTCGTCCCCACTGGATCATCACAGAGAAAGGTTGATATTTTTTTGCTAAAAGTTATGAGTCAACAGAATGTTGGCTTTCTGAATATGAGCAATTTTAACTCTTTTTTTTTGTATTGTCAGATGATGATTATGAAAGAGACCACACTCCTTCTCTGCGTGATTTTCCCCAATATTCTGATGAATATGAATCGGAAGAGGTAATTATCTCTTTTTATTTTCAATTTAATAGTTTACCTGAGGACTTGCATATCAAACCCTAGGTTGAGACCAAAAAAATGCAAAGATTTTATCCTTATCGCAATCAATATCAAATCGATGCAAGTTGTTTGTAAGGATGGACTGTATTTGATAAATCTTTCTTTGTAGAAGGAATTCCGAAAAAAACGAAAATTTTGTTCTGAAATTCTAAAGCTTCCATCGGTGGTAGAAAAGTCCAGAGTATCGAAGGTTAATTTCAACTCCAAAAGTCAAAAGAATTAGATGAGATGCATAATACTGATAAAAAAGATTTTGGATCATAAATGCAGATCGCTTAAATTTCTTACATTATAATAATAATTATATTTTACTATATAAAAAATATATATATATATTTTTTTTTGTATTTTGGTATTAAAATGCATATTTTTTATATTGGCATTATGCGAATTCTTAATGTTTTATTAATGAAAAAAAATAAGCGAAATATATTTTATTATTATCCTGATTACAAATAGATTATTATCATAATTATCATGCCTATTTATTATTATTATTATTATGATTATTCATTTGTTTCTTTTGTTGGAAATCTCCAAGTTCCACTTTTTCCACCAGTTTTCTCCACAACCTTCAAATCACAAATGATCATTTCCTTTCCTACAGCCTTACACATGTCAAAAACTGTTAGTGCAGCTATACTAACAGCAGTAAGAGCTTCCATTTCAACACCAGTCTTTCCTTCACATTCAACTTTTGAAAGAATTTTTACAGCATAATTATCCTTTTCATCCAATGTTAAATCGACACTAACATGTGATAATAAGAGTGGATGACATAACGGTATGAGGTTTCCTGTTTGTTTTGCAGCCATTATACCAGCAATTTGTGCTGTTGTTAAGACATCACCTTTTTTCATTGTATTAGTACGTACAAGTTCAAATGCTTGACGTCCAATATGAACTTTTCCAAATGCTGTTGCTGTACGATAAGTTGAAGATTTTGTGGAAACGTTAACCATTGAAGCACGTCCACTATCAGGATCAATATGAGTGAGCGAAGGCGAATCAAATTGTGAATTTGAATTGGACTTGTGATCATTGGAAGGAAATGATTTTGAATTTGTCGAAATAGGTTTAGTAGAATATGATGAACGAAAGGAATGGATATAAGAAGATAATGTATTTTGATAATTGATAGAAGATAAAGATAGAAAGTTATGGGAAAAACGTGAAAAGTATGATTTAGAATGAAGAAATGATGATGCGGTGTTGAATATGATCTTATTGTGTAAGGAGGAATTGTAATCTTTAAACGAAATTATAAAAAAAGAAATGAGTCAACAAACTGTTTATCGTTAATATTAAGGCACGTAAAGGATAACTAACCTGGTTTCTTTATTGATTTATCCGCCAATAAGAATCATTGGCCGATTTTTTGTTTCAGCCAATTCAAACATACCTGCATGTTGCTTCCTTTTATTTTTAACAGCTGATCCTATAATCTCTAGCAGCTGTTGATCAGGAACATTTTCACGTAATAGATCACGTAAACTGACTTCGGCGTTTCCGAATAAACAAACTTTCAAATTTCCATCAGCGGTGATTCTAAGTCTGTTACAAGTTCCACAAAAATGATCGGTCATTGAAGTTATGAATCCAAATCTTCCGACAAAACCTGGTACGTTAAATGCCTAAAAGAATCGAATGATTAAATTTTCATATAGTAATCATCGATCAATTTAAATGCAAAAGTGAACGTACATACCTTTGAAGTATCATGTGAATCGTTTGATAACTTTCGAACGTCAGGATACTTTATTTTAATATTATCTAACATTTCCCTATATGGAATAAGTTTTTTCTTGTTCCATTTGTTTCCTGAATAAATAATATTATTAAGTTTATCATGTCATATTAAAAAAAAAAAAAAATTATATATTTAACCACCTACCATCAAATGGCATATATTCAATGAATCTCATGTCAATTGGTTTATTGCGTGTCAATTCGACAAAATCCAACACTTCTTGGTCATTGACACCACGTATTACTACACAATTGACTTTCATAGGACGAATTCCCAGCGCAATACCCTGATCAATTGTTTCCAACACTCGATCAAGACCTAATTCGAGCGAATAAAGGTGAATTAGATACCCATAAAAGTAAATATTAAAAATATAACCAACGCGACATTTACACACCTTTGCGTCTTGAGATTAGTTCGAATTTATATGGATCCAAAGTATCCATGCTGATATTCAACGAATTTAGTCCATTTTCAACCAATTTTGGTAACTTTCTTTTCAATGCAATACCATTTGATGTCATGGCAATAGTCTGTAAACCCTGAGGTTTCAATTTGCCCAATTCACCTTCAAAGAAAAAAAAAAAAAAAATTAAGTATCGAATTCTTAAATCGATCCATTCTTGTGAGGAAAAAAGAGAAAATTTCCACTTACCAATCAATTCAACAATATCCTTTCTTACCGTTGGTTCACCTCCTGTTAGTCTAATCTTGTTGACACCTTGAGAAACGAATAACTGCGAAATTCGTATGATTTCTTCGGTTGACAGTAGGTTATGAACGGGAGTTAAATCGACACCTTCGGCTGGCATACAATAATTACCTATAACAAGTAATAAAATTAATTTGTGACACGAGCGAATTACAACACAAGTCAAAAGGAAGTTAAAACTTACATCTCAAATTACATCGTTCCGTTATCGATATGCGAAGATATGTATGTTGTCGATCAAACCTATCCGTTAAAAAATTGCTAAATGGTCTTTCTTTATCAATTGCTGATATCCTTTCCTTAATTGAATTAATTAATCGATTGAAGAATTTAGATACGAAATTTCAGCTGAACAAAAAAAATTCGATTGAAAATTGCAATACCTACCTTTATACGTTGTTGAGGATTTTCGTATCGTAGATTAATTGTGTCTACTCGATGGGATTTCGATGTTGAAATTCCTCTAATCATATGAGGAATCAAACCTTTAGCGTTTTCAAACGAAACTCTAGTAAAAATGTTATAACTCATCATAATTTATTTGAGGAGGAGAGAGAAAAAAATTTTGAATAGTATGGATATTTATACTTTCTATTGTTATCTTATCTATTAGATAATCGTATGGTCGCTTATCGTTATCAGATAAAGCAATTTCTTTTTTTAATTCTATCTAATTTACACCAGATCTTCCCCTAAATAAGTTGCTGAATTCGTACATTTCGTTATTTACCATTTTGGAATAAACTTATATGCAATGTAACTCTTTTAAATAAAAATAAATGAAAATCCAAAAAAATAAAAAAATTTGTAATACACACATTATTTAAACTTAAATTTTTAAAGTTAAAAGCTTATTTAACAAATATATGATGTTTATTTAAACATTAAAACGTTACAATTTTATAAAATTTAAATCAACAAAAGTGCTTTCACGTGATCGGTTTGGGATTATGCGTTTGAAAAGTGAGAGATACCGTAAAAAGCTTTTATTATGGCGGAGAAAAATCAAAAGAAACCAAAATTTAGCCCATTAAAATTAATTACAGTAGCGGTCATAAGTATCCGACCGCCTCTAACTCCGGCTACAAGTAAGTAAATTCAAAATTTTTTTTTTTTATTTAAAAAATACATAACCAACTAACTAAAATTAATACAT